TGCGTAATTTTTTTAATCTTTCTCCGAATTTTTGTTCGATTAGATAAAAGAATAATATAAAAAGTTACGCTCGCAAATATAAAGTTTGTTTTTTTACAGTTTTAATTTGTGCTGTGTGGATATAATATTCTCCAACAAAAGTAACAAAGACAAGCTAAATTAATCCTTAATACACACATCTTTGGGTCATTCATGTCCTGTGTATTTTTTTTTTAAATATTATCTGATTAAATATCTCTCTCTGGTCTCTTTTCTATTCCTAAAGAAAGTTTGGCATCTCTAGAGAACAAGTTTTGTGCGTTGCCGACCTCAATTCATGCGTATCCTGTAACTGGCATAATTCCGAAGTTCACTTCTGGGTTACAAATGACTCAACGTGTGTACAGAGTGTACATTTTTTGTAACTAAAAAATTTTTATTTTTTTCTTTATATCCAACTAATTCTCGGTTGTATTGCGGGAATATTTCACGAATAATTAAAAAAAGAATTTAAGATTTTTATTAAAAAAAGAATCTCAAAAGAACATATTAATAAACACTATTTTTAGCACCCTTGTGCTAAATGTTGTCTGTAATGTTATAAAGAACATTTTCCTAATAAATTATAAGTTTTTTTAACATAATAGCAGTCATAAAATGCATTATTTAAAATGTAAATGCTATATATCTTCAATTTGTAGCCATTCATGCATATTAAAAAAAAAACATAATTTTCAGGTTATTCAATAACTAAATTTTTTGAACAGTCGACACTTAAACTATTTTTTTTGCAGCTTGCAATGTTAATTTTAAAATATTGAATCATATTTTTCCTTTAAACATTTTCCTTTAAACTACTTTTCCTTTTGTTTCAGTTTTACATTTTTGTATGAAACAGTACATTTTTCTCATTTTGTTAATTATACAACATTTAGTTATAACAATTTATTTATAATTTATTATGAATATATACAACTGTACTAATACAAGATATCAAAATATATGTAAAAATCGTTTAATAATTTTTGTATATTTGTAAAAGTGATGAAAATTAATCCAGAATACGAATGACCGAACGTGTGTAGTAAGGATACCCAAAACTAAGGTATGTACTAAGGGTTAATTTAAGTTAATTTAATCAAATAAATAATTTTTTTCTAGTATAGATATTTTCTTGAGCGGTTTTTCTCAGTTCAATTTTCAATGAGACGCGATTAATCCAGTTAAGCATAAATGTTTACGAAAGATTGGAAAATGATCTGAATGTAAATATCATTAAGAGCGGCACGTACAATTTGTTTTCCTCTCGATACAATTTATAAATTTAAATAAAGTGAAGGTGACACCTGCTACGCATCGAAATCTCTTGATACATCAAATCTTTTATTTCGCGTGTTGATTTTTATCGTGCCAGTGTGCGAATTGTTCATTGGATAAGATTGACAGAAATGATTTTGTAATGAGTTATATACGTAATACATAATATATATGCATAATACATACTTAATAATAATATAGAAATAAATGAAGAATCCGTGTCTCACAAATACAGAGAAACCTGATGCCTTTTTCAGTCGAGATAAAATAGAAATAGATGCAGGAAGCCCATTGACGAGAATGACTGCTAAATTTCGAACTTTTTACAGAATTTGTGTATCAATGGATTGTTTTAGATCTTTTTACACTCGATATTTTTGATCGTTGCAAGATTTCGAGACATTCATTAATCAAATCTTTGTTAAATTTTGTTGAGAGAAACGTCTTTTCGAAAACAGAGTACTTAAAGAAACCTCAGTAAAAAATTTTCAAATTCTTTATATAATTTTTCAAAATTTCTATAAAAATTTTATAAATATTTTAAAAAACTTCTCTAATTTTTTATACGAGTTAGCATACTTTTCAAATATGCTGAGACAGTTTGGATTTTTTTTAGAATTTTTTATACATATAAATTCCGAAATATTCAAAGATTTCTTATTCTATAATTTCTGAAGAAGTTTAAGATATTTTCAGAAACATTCATAAATTTAAAATAAAAGAAATTCTTAAAAATGTAAGATGTATTGAGAATTTTTTTTTCAGGAGAAACAAATAAAATTCTCCGTTATTTTAGCTACAAGCAGATAGATCTTCCTTTTTTTTATGGTATTATTTCCTTTGTTATACGACAAATTTTTATATGTATGTGTGTATGTGTCGATTGAGGCTAAGAAATTCTTGAGTTGCCAGAAAATTTTCTATTCTCTAACCAATGTAAACACAAATATTAAATAAATATGCATAAATTACATAAATAACATTAAATTAAATTTTGGAAAAATGTATGGTAAAAGAAATAAAACGACATGCGACCGACTTATCCTTATTTTTTCATTGTATTAAATAAATTAGTATCACGATTCTTTCTGATTGCTCATTGATCCAAACAGTCTTATGCTATACTATGCTTAATGCATTTTGTACACACAAAATAACCCTAATTGTAACACGTGCTGCTTGTTACAGGATCTATACCTTAATGGGAATGACGTCACCATTATTTCCATATAAACTTGTCGCCGTGTATTGTATTAGCCAATTGATAATCGCTTACAAATTCATGGACACCTTAGCCCCTGCAGTGTAAGTTATCGAAAGAAAGTTATTGCTCGCATTATTGCATCACACGCTCATTACGTTGTACTTATATTTATTTCGTGGAAAAATAATAGTCGAGATAATTCGCTGAATAATACTAGTTGAGATAAATCGCTGAATAACGTTTATAATATTTCCATCGTCAAATTATCTCCGATGTGGTTGTACTTGTCAATTATCTGCTTATTAATAGTAAAATTACATATTAATAGAACTCGAAGATATTTCAGTATTCGCTCGTACAATCTCGCTCTCAATTGAAAAGGACTTGAATAAAAAACAAAAAAAAACAATAGTAATCTTGATCTTTTATAAATGTAGGGAGCAAAGGGAGTGCTGTGGACTTCACTGGGTATGGCAGACCTTGAAGAAGTTGCGGAGCGAAAAACCAGGATTGGTAAAATTCTCTTTGTCTTCTCACAAGGAGGGAATCTTGAAAAGATCGAAAATTCTAATCTTCTGTTTCTAATCTTAATATTCCGTTTACAATTTTTCAGCATTGCATCGTCCTTTGTCTCGTGGCCTTCTTCCTATGGTTCCTCGACCACGTCCATACGTCAACCCTTTGCTTCATGTACTACGGCATGTTACTGGCATGTATGCTACTGCGATTTCCCCTAAAACTGTTTGACAAAGCACGGGAGTACCTCTTGTCACACAAAGGTAATCGAAAACGTCGAAATTTTCCTGACAGAACAGAAGACTCGAATCTTAAATCTTAAAGATTGACTCTAGAAGTACCAAGGATCATTATTGATAGCTAGATTTTTTATTGTAGATTAGTATTATAGCAGTATTATATTTCTTGTATAAAAATAGCTTTTAATTTTTTTATTTTTATAATTATATATTTTTTTATAATGACGAAATATTTGGTTTTTCATCACTTTCTTTATCTTCACAATAATTTATTCGCTTCATCCTTTTAATGATAAGAAATGTTAATACTTTTAATGTAAACGATTAAACATAAATGATTTAGTTTTTAGATCTAACTTAATTAACTTCAATTTTGAACTATTTAACAATACAATTATGTACAATGTATAATTATCTAACTTTAACACTTGATTGGGAGATGTAATTAAGGAATCGTATTAATCTTTAATTAAGAGAATTATTAATTTCAACACAAATAACCGAAGAACATATTCGAGAGATCAAAGCGAATCTTATTACCTAATAATAGTTTTATGTAAATTTTTATAAATTCCAGTTTAAGCAAACTACGAGTCGATTATTTGTTAGTTTTGAAAGCAGAATTAAATTTATTGAAAAAATTTTCTCTTATATCTCTCATTCATTGAACTTCGACATTGAACTCAAATCTTTATTAAACTTTTTTTACACACAATTTAATACAATATTTCGTCATATTAACATTTACATGAGGAAACATTTTTGATTAATCTCACTTATTTTTCAGACTGGCAATGTGACAGTGAAATCGAGGATGAGTTTTTACCTGTGGTAACAGAGGCGAGTCTGCTAGTATTAACTCGGGTGGGGGAGACGGGCGATCATTCGCCAACACCGACGAGTGTGCAGTCGGATACTCAGAATGGTATGTGTTTGATGAGTTACTTTTCACTCGAGTATAAATCCTAAAAAAAACTCGCGATTCAGATATTGAATTTTAAATATTTTCGATGTAACTTTTAGAGAGATTATCGATTCCGCATTTTTTCATATTTATTGCTTTATTTGCTCGATAATCTAAAGCAAAATAAAATTTTTAATCTCCATCGTTCAATTTTCTCTACATCTTTACATCTCATCGCATTGCCTGCAGATTCTTTTTACGACGAGGATTTTATAGAGGGTCTTCAGGAGATAGCGTTCAATATGCCCTCCCATGGAGAGGGTAGCACTGACGGTGTCGAACTATCGGAACTGGAGCTCAGTGTCGGCGAGAACGACGCCGAAGAGGATGGTATAAAGTTTCAGAGCGGTCACTTCGAGAAGAGTTCCTCGTCCTCTTCAGAGGAAGAAGTCTTCGACGCGAAGAAAATCGCGGCCAGCAGCGATGAGAGCAACGGTGATAGCGACTTTGAGATAATCGATAAGGAGGAAATAGCAAAGATAGAAATGTGATGAAATTCGGAGGTGCAAAAAAATATGGAGGGATTATCGCGCGCGACATTAAGTTATGATGTAAAGCTGAAAGAAAATCATCTCTGATCTCTGTAACCGGCCGCGAACGAGATAAAAAATTTAATCCAGTAACGATAATCAATAGCGACTTCGCTTGAAGTACAATCGTCTCGGCCGAATGTGATGGTAAATTGAGATAAAGAAAATAATATATCATTTAAGTTATATAATTGTCTCCCGAGCGCAACGTTGTACTCGCGCGCGTACAAAATATCGGTCTTGGTCGAAGATGCGAAGAAAGCAAAATTTATTTATTTAGACGAATTCAGTCGAAAGCCTGTATTCTTTGTTCTCTACCGCATCTAGTCTTGCGCTACTCTTTCATTGTAAGAAAGGTAACGAAGAGTAGAAAGGCAGGGATTTAAAGAATAAGGGGACTCAACTGTAGATACATATATATGTACAATACCACTGGTATTGTATTTAATGTCTTTGGATGATTAAATAGGCGTATGTACATTTGCAATGTAATAAATATGCACCTGTGTACAAACGTTTTAACCTGAAGAGTCAGTTTGACCTAATTGCTACAATTAAGCAATTGCGACGGCGTTGTACGACAGTAAGGATGCGAAAGGTACCTAAATACGATCAATAAAAAGCTGCACTCTGGTAGCGCAAACAACATTTTAGATGTAAGAATGTATTATATTGTAACATGTATCTGTGAGATGTGTAAAAAAAAAAACAAATGCGCGTGAAATATCGATGAAGTGTTTGTCGAGTCTGACGCGTTTTTGTAGCCCGTTTATAATTGATGTTTGCCGTTTTTCTCTTGTCTACGCATCTCATATATTTGAAAATACACGACAGATGATACAAAAATACGCTGTTATTATATACACGGCCTTAAAAATAATACAATAAAATAGATTCTCTTTGATTTCTGCAGTATTCGCGAAATAGCAAAAAGGAATAACGTCAAAATGAAATAAAATTTTTAAAAATGTTATTAACATTATATTTACGTAAAAAATCTGATTTGATTAAATCTTTTATACTTTGATTTCTTGTACGCATAAATATTGTGTACATATTTTTATATTTAAAATTTTTTTATTTTCCCTTTTGCACGTCGCGAATTTTTTTTGAATATTTTACTTGCATCTTTTAATCACACATTTGCGATTCTACGTTATGCAGGAACTCTCATTTAAGATTTCTTTCGAATCTACTTTGCACTCAGGTTTGATATCGTTCTCCTTAACATCTTTTATAACCGTCAATGTATTATTTACAGTAATGGACACTGCATTATTTACATCAACCGGCATGGCATTATTTACATCAACAGGTTTCGAATCTTGTGATTCGTCCCTTTTGGATTGCACAGAAATGATCGGACGAGCGTTCTTCCTCTCCGGTAACACCTTTAAAAATGCTTTTTGCCAGGTATCACCCTCCGAGACTCTCAACAGTATTTCAAAAACTGGAAAAGTCAATCATTTCTTGAAAATGTAAACTTCAATGACTCACTTATTGTTAAAATTTGATTAGTAGAATAAAATATATTTATATTCTTAATTTCTCTCATTAATTATCAAACTAAGATTGGAGATGCTTATAGAAATCAACAATAATATAATCTTTAAAAAATTTATCTTTCATAATGCTTACCATGATCAATAGTCAACACTTTTCTTGCTTTCATCTGTAGGAATTTATCTAATGGCAATCGGCCGTGTCTGACATCCGCCTCTCTCGCTAATTTATGACACATACCCTACAATTTAAACTTTTGATAGAAATTCGTAAAAAAGGACGACTAGCCACAAAAATCTCACCTTATGCGCATTGTGATCAACGAGACCACCTATAACATATACGCAATCATGTTCTAGACAATCTATCACGTTATTTGATTCGCTCGTGAGATATATGATCTTATCTTTGGGATAAACGTTTATGTACGGCTCCGTATGAAAGCTCACCTGTAATTTAATGAAATTTAACAGTTAATTTAATAATTTAAAAAAGGACTCTCCGCGTAAAATGAAAAATGTTTATACCAGGTAAACTTTATTATAAAATGTGCGAGGTCCTTTAATAAATAGTAATCCAATGTAATTTAATCCAGTATAATTCAATAAAATTTAATAGCCAATTTTATAATTTGATAGAAGGTTAAAAAGAAGTCGGTTTTTGCCCAATGATTAACAAGTTTAATATGCATGATGTATTTATCAAATTTTAATGTTCCCTAAATATTTGACAAACTTTTTAATAATTTTATTGTATCTAAGAAAACAAAATCTATACATTCATTTTGCTCTTACATCTTTTTAGAAACAATTACTCCTTTTTTAACATCTTCCTTTAATGGACAGATGTTTATAATGTCAATTTTAATCATTAAAAGTGAGAGAAAGTGTTGACTTATATGTAATCACATACATCCCAATGCTTATATCCATTGTGCTTCTCCATGCTGGTTCGTGATTTGCCAGTAAAACTGGTGAGGGAAAATTGCATAGGTGCCGTAGCTCTTCTATTCAAAGTATAGCACCTTAGTATTTGTTTCGTTAGCTTAGCGATATCCTTATCGATCATTAACTCATCGAATGACAAGTCGATGGTTACTGTAAGCGAGCAAGCACTTTCAGCCATGGTGCTTTTTTTTAAGAACTTTCTGGATGGACCTAGACTTAAGTTATTTGCACGTGCAAACGCACGTTTCTCTCTTGCTTTAATCCTCTCTCGCAATCTGCATTGACAAACATACAATTAGAAACTAATACAAAAATTAGTAGAAAAGACTGCATAAATAAATTTCCTTCCATGCAAATGAAAATGAATATAAAAATCAGGAACTGCATATTAAATCTCTTCCTTGCAAACTATTACAAGTTAATATAAATGTTGTGAAAATCATATATATGTATAGGGTGATACAATTTGAAATATGATATTCCGAACAAAATAAAATAACCCAATTTTTGAGGTTCAAGTTTGATAACTCAGGGGATCAATTATGGATCTTGAAACAAAGTAAAAGTTAAAAAGTGGACAAATTTACTGTAGTGTATCAGTTGTGTATCTTGAAATGACATGCAGACTATCAAAGTTAATAAATTCACTGGATGTTGGTCAATTAGGGAAAAAATTTAACTTCGACAATTGGATTCAAATTTAATTTTATGTTGCTCAGAATTAAACCGTTTTTGAAATTGTACTACTTTACCCTACAGGTTTTTATAAATAAGGAGATTTATTGTAGGCGCCTTGGGATAAAATGACGCGATGGGATCATCGCAATTTACAGATTTTCGTACGTTGCTGCCGCGTGACATCAGGAGTTCCTAACCTCTTCTCGCTTTTTCGCTCCAACCACTTCTTCTCCCTCAGCAATCTTTTCAATTGACGCTTGCTCATATTTATCGGTGGCTCGGATAATTTATCCGCGACCATAACCGCGTTATCCTCCGTAGAATTTACGTCATCCATATCGTAAAATTATTAATTTTTCCCGGCATGAACCACGTGAATCGTGCAATCTGTTTTCTGTTTATCTGCTTCTTTTTTCGAATCTCTCATAAGAGCGGTCTGTTCTTTTCAGAATTGCGAGAAAATTTCAAGCAATGCGAACAGACCTATATATAGGGTGTCTGAAATCAAGGTGTCCATTGCCTTGAAAAGATGTAAATAACTATAATCATTTCGATTTTAAAGAATTAAAGCAGTAAATTATTGACTGCACAAGTCGGTAAATCCTTGAGGTCTTCAAACCCTTTTTTTAACATGGTCCAATAAAATCAGGTCTGAAGGAGTTAAAGACAAAAAGCCCGGGAAAAAATGTTTCATATATAATTATATAAAATTATATAAAATGACATATAATTATATAAAAAATTGACATGTTTTACATACAATTATATATTATTATATATAAAATACGTCCATATATATAACATTTTTTCGCAAGTCAGATTATTTGAAATTTTTCGACAATTTTTTCTGAAGAATTAAATAAATATACGAAAGTGAAGTTTTCAGCGTTATTTATATATACAACACATAAAGAAATAAATTGGAGTTGAGGGGGATCTTCTAAATAATTACCAAAAGCCAAAAGTTATACGGATAATTTCAGACACCCTGTATATATTCTTAACGCGAGTAGATAATAGCTCCATCGTAACCTCTACTAAACAGATCGGGAGTTTACCGCCATGATCTGACCCGCTGATCGGCGCCGTCGAGGTATCAGTATTGAAGAATTATCGAGTTTCGTATACGCGATTGTGTTTACGTCGCTTGGAATGGTATAATCGTTGCCCGAAGAAGACGGCCATCGCCGTATTCGAGAGTTCCATTGATCGGTCAGGATGGCTCGATGTTAACCGTTAAGCAAACCTAACAAGGGACCATATCAACATTGTTTCCTTTATCAAACATGTGAGCTTCTTCTGGATTCCCTGGATTTTGTGACATTATACACGAAGAAAAGGATATCTGCATATACACACATATATACATATATATATATAAATAAATAAATATATGTGTATATATATGTATGTATATATAGATGATTGTAAATAATGGTGTTTTGGGCCGTCATTTATTCACTGGCGATATTCCTACGTTTTGGTTCCCTACAAGCAAGTACGTATGTCTATATTGCTCTAATAGTCGTTTATAATCGATGTAACAAATGTAAGTGTTTGTAAGCTTATTTGATATTCCTTAATTTTTCTCTGTCTTTTATCAGAGCCGGAGTCGCAAGGTTATTGCGCTCCATACAGTGGCAAGATATGCAAGAAATATCTCAGTGGAATTGGGAAGGTGTGGTTTAACGACTCCAATGATAATCCTGGAGGATGGCTGAACGAGAAGATCACAGCGAACCTCTGGGAAGAGCTGATAGGAACTCTTCTGGAGCCATGTCGTTCAGCAGCAGAGGTGTGATGACCCAAAGTTTTAAAAACAACATAATTTTATCAATATTGGAGTTGAGGAAGCCTAAACCGAATAACTACTTACTTACCAAATATTTATAAAATTACTTTTAAAAAGACTTATAATTAGTTCTTGTACTTGAGACTTCCTTAAATTTGTCTTTAGATGCTCAGTAACCAATGGAATAATTCGTAGAGAGATCTGAAGATAAATTTTAGTAAGCCTTAAATGGAAGGCCTGGCTATGAATACGGACATTAGCCTTGAGAAAAATTTAAGATAGTTTTAGTTAAATAACTTTAAGAAGGCGAGTTGGAATTGACGAGGAAAAATGTTTTTATCATTAATAATAAATTACGCTCGTTTTACTAAGCAAACATATTTATAAGAGTAAAGAAAGTCTACAAGAGTTAATTCTGTTGTTCCTTGGTGTGTAACATCTCTGAAATTAATCTCTTATTGTAGTGAAATAATTTTATCATTCTTTTACTTTTTTTATGTAGAAAATGCTCTGCATGTATGCGTTTCCACTGTGCCACGAATCTACTGGCCTGCCTCTCTGCTACGAAGACTGCATGGCTGTACGCCAGCAGTTCTGCTTCAACGACTGGGCGATCATCGAGGACAACAAGCAGAGAGACATTTACATTCGCTCACGTGGACACTTTGTGCTACCAGAGTGCGAGAGTTTGCCCAAAGTGAACAAAGAGACGCCTACCTGTTCGCATGTACACTTGACCGATATGGACGAGGAAATCGTCACTTGTGAGTTCACTTATCGCGTTTAAATAATACTAAAGACATTGACTATGTTCAACGGAGAAAGCAGCTTTCTAACTGTTGTAAAATTTTTCAATACGATTAATTTTTCCTTATGAATTTAAATGTATAAAACAATCATATTGAAGAATTTTACAACAGTTGCAAAGCTGCTTTCTCTGCTGAACGCAGCTATTGTAATTGAATTTTTAAGTATTAATTGGATAACGTTGATCGACTTTTCTAGACGATTGCATCAGAGGTAACGGTAGATTCTACATGGGGATGGTAAACAAGACTAAATATGGTCTGGATTGCCAATCGTGGAGCGCTCAGATACCACACAGTCACGATAAACCGCCTGACGTCTTCCCGCAGATTCGCCACGGTGAAAATTACTGTAGAAACGCGGGCGGCGATGAGCCGATGCCGTGGTGCTTCACAACTGATCCATCAACACGCTGGCAACATTGCGATATTCCTCTATGTGGTAAGTACAATTAAAATATACTAAGGCTGATATTCAGTCGGTTCTTCGATATTTCAAGACCGTCTTAAGTAATGTCTTAAGGCGCTAATGCGGCTCTTTTGATTCGTGACATCTCAAGACAGAACTTAAAACGGTCTTGGATATAAGAACGGACTATGAATGCCAGCCTAAGAATTTCTAGTTAATACAATATATGTATAATTTGTATTAATAATTTCTTTTCTCTTACGTTAATTGAAACATTTAAATCAAATATTTTTCATTCACTCGCATCACTATTTAGGAAATGTATTTTGTATAATACCTTTAATTAGAATATTTTTTGTTTCAACATGATATATGATTGATTTCGTATAATAATGTTTTATTATTTTTTTTAGATAATGTTACAACTAAAGTAGAGATCGAACCAAAAAATATAATGATGGATACTTTATTTAATAACACACTGGTACTCATACTGTCAGCGTTGGGCTTTGTAATTGTAGCTGGAGCGCTATTATCTATTCTGCTGAGTCAAAGACTGCACAAACGTCACCGAGGCTATAATCCGACTGATAATCAAGTATCTGTTCATCAAATATTAATTATAAAATATAACTGTAATGAAAAAGAAAGAAATAATGTTAACTCAAACATTTTTTCTAAAATTATATGTATATATTATTGTAATTTAAATAATAATTTAAATTTATTGGATACAAAATGATATATGTATATATAAATTTGGATAATTATTTAAATTACAATAATATTGTTTGCAATATTAATATATTGATAATCTAATTTAAAGTATGTATCGTTTTGTATTTCTAATAAAAAAAAGATAGTCTCTTTTTATAAAATTATCAAAGAAAAACTCTTCTCAAAAACAATTTGATATAAGCTCATTCTTTTGTATATACAATAATTTTTAAAAAATTCTTCATATAAAATCAATTGTTCTAAAGTTATGTTATCAAATGTATCTTCATATTTATTTTATTAGTATTTATGCCTAGTTAGCATGATCTTGTAATAGCTATTTTAATTCTTCTTTCGACTTATAATTTTCAAACTACTCGCTTTTTGCAGGACGTGAATATCGATCTGGACAAGCTGCCAAATAACGAGGCGTATCACAAGACAAGCGCGCAACTAAATCCCAAATTGGAGAAACTGGAGTTCCCGCGGAATAATATCATTTACGTACGGGATCTGGGTCAGGGCGCCTTCGGCCGCGTGTTCCAGGCGAAGGCGCCGGGGCTAGTCCCAGGTGAGGAATTCACAAATGTCGCCGTGAAGATGCTAAAAGAGGAAGCGTCAGATGACTTGTTGCGGGATTTCGAGCGAGAGGCATGCCTCCTTGCCGAGTTCGATCATCCGAATATCGTAAAGTTGCTAGGGGTTTGCGCGCTCGGACGGCCGATGTGCCTGCTGTTCGAATATATGGGTCGTGGTGATCTCAACGAGTTCCTGCGTTCCTGCTCGCCCAGCAATTATGTCATCCGTGTGCCCAGCGTGGACGACGGCGGCACGACAGTGGGCGAGCCCTCGCGGCTCTCGCATATGGATTTGATCAACATCGCGCTACAAGTGGCATCCGGTATGGTCTACCTGTCCGACCGGAAGTTTGTTCATCGCGACTTGGCGACGCGTAATTGCCTGATAAACGACCAGATGATCGTTAAGATCGCTGACTTCGGGCTGTCGCAAAAGATATACCTGCAGGATTATTATAAAGGTTTTTTTCTTATTTTTATTGTGTAGAATGTATTTACAGAACTTGTTGCAGAGAACGATACAGTTGTATTAAATACAAGTAAAATGCTAATATGAGCAACAACATACGGAGTTTATACTTAACTTCCGCACTGAAAAGGATTCCAAAGTCGAAACGCAATTAGCTTCGTTGGTACATTTCAGTTGTTTGTGAATTGTATCTTATCGTCTTATAAATATATTGTTTATAAGGCAATCAACAACTTCGAAGGCTTATATTGATATTTTACTTATGTATGATTTATTCTTGAAGTCACACAAAATTATTTCTACTTTTATATTAATTTAATGTTGTACTTTTTACGAAAATTTGTCATCGTATTACTTGTAATTTTTAATAATACAGGGGACGAGCAGGATGCCATCCCCGTCAGATGGATGCCGCTGGAAAGTATACTGTACAACAAATACACTGTCGAATCAGATGTGTGGGCGTTCGCCGTGTGTCTCTGGGAGATCTTCAGCTTCGCGCTGCAGCCGTACTACGGGATGACGCATGAGGAGGTAGTCAAGTACATCAAGGAGGGCGAAGTGCTACGCTGTCCGGACAATACGCCACAGTCGATTTATGATCTGATGAAGCTCTGCTGGAACAGGCGACCATCC